TTAAAAGGCAACATAACTTTCTTTTAAAACTTTGTATTATAACAAATACTACTTTACTACGAGGATCAGCCGTGGCGATTTTGAGCAAACTCACCCATTCGAATGCCCTGCTTTTACTACCAACACGAAAACGATACACGGTTCCTGAAAAAACGCACGCATAAGTACAGTTATTTCGCAATGCATAAAAGTCTAAGGCGTAAATTTCTATTTATATCGAACATATAGGAAAGTTTTTGGTCCATGGCAATTTTTGGGCCTAAAACCAACTAATATATCGTTAAGAGTGCCGAATAAACAAAGTAACAGAAACTGTGAATTTCAAAAGGAGTAGTGGATGAACGAGGCAAAGACATTCACAACCTACATATTTCGCTATTTCTTAAAACACAACGAGAATCTGGTTACACAACTAGCGTCCGGGACTGTTTAGTCGGTAAAACGTAAGATTCAGAACCGAGAAATCATGAGTTCGAGCTCTTTCACGTCATTCGCTTTTTTCCTTCTGAGGCTGATAAATGAATATACCACAGTGTGGGAAGCAACATAATTCTACGCTTGCCACAGAAATGCAATCGTCCCTGCCATTAAAAAAATAAGGCATTCCTGGCCGATGACATGTGAAAATCAGAGCTGTACCATTAATTTGAAGAAAAGAAGGAAGACAGAAATGGCTCCACCATGAAAGTGTAAGGAAGACCAACATTCCAACGGCTGCAAACTTTTCACTTAAACAACCAGCTGTGCGTGACATTAAATTTTATCAAATTAAGCCTATCATCTATTATAGTGAGACTTCTAGCATAAGCTGATAGTCTTTGGCCAGGGGCGTAAAGGGCAATCGGCGAGGAGAGAGAAAAAATGCAATGCTAGTGTCGCTGCTAAAATTCCTTTCCGATAATGAGCGTTACTTTCACAGCTATATAAGGAATCCGTCGATTTACGGCATTCTTTCAAAAAATTAACGGAGTGTCACGACAGTTAGTTGGTCGATTAGTTAACGATCAATGCAGGAACAGCCGTACCACCGACAAGCTCCTGAAGAATGAATGAATCTGGCTGAAAAGGATCGTCACCAATGACCACCATCCAGCCGCTGAGCGCGATGATCTTGCTCGGACCGTTTTTGTACTAAACGACGTAAGTCAATGAAAAGTTCGACCAGAGTCTCTAAAACTCAGAAACATACCGATGAACGTGAATCAATGTTTCTTGAAAGATATTTATACGAGAACATCACCAATGTCGAACTGTACAACCTCATCCAGAATCTTCTCCAAGATGGTACCTAAATTTTCATTTCCACAACTGCGAATGGCAATGACAGATTGTATCTGAAACAATGCAAACGAGGAAGTAACATGAAATTAGACCACATGCCAGCAGTAAAACTGATTGCTAGATGCTTAGCTTGACAGCACCAGAAAACAGATTTTACCCGTGGCCTGTGACCAAGTTTGAGAACGGTCTTCTTCCGACAAGGGCCTTCGATTAGACAGTATTTGGAAGGATCACTCATGCTGCGTGCCAGCATTTCTCTGCTACTGCTGGTACTGGCCTTCCTAAACGCAAAGAACAATCAGATATATTAAGACAAACGTGCACAAATCGAATAAGCGACTGCTGCTTTACCATTCTGAGTGACGAACGCCGAAAACGTAAAGCAGTAAAATTATATAACAAGAAACATTGGATAATGAAGTATCTCTAGTGAAACAATTTTGCAGCATCGAACAATTGCCGTTAAGTCGCCATCGGTCCATCGACTTCGACGCATCTGCACTAGCTTATCAGACTCCGCTACCGACAGCCATGAAAATGCTTCAAAATGGGAGATAGATTTCACGAAGATGGGCAGAGGCAATAAATTGGTATAAAAAATCAATAATACCGTAATCAAACAAACATTTACGTACTAGCATAAGCCGAATAAACCGCTTGAAAATCTTGGCCATGAAGAACTCAACAAAAAAACTGATTTCAAGTATAACGCGTGCACCGAGTCTTCAGAGCTGCAAAAGTGTCGTAAAATCAGTATAATAAGTCGAAAACAGTAAACTCTCCGTTTTATGACGTATGTTTCTGTCTTGCTGAATAAATAAGTTATTATAAGTTTCACCGTAAAACAGATTTAAAGAGAGAATCAATTAATCGACCGAATCTCCCACCTCCTATTAATTTAAAATCTGAAGATATCCCAGGACAAATGACACGTTAAAAACAGCTAATCATAATTTTTTCTGAATTAGTACAGGCGCCCTGTCCCATTGTAGCCATAGTGTCTCTCCAAGAGCGATTTGCTTTCAAAATAGGTCTATTAACTACTGATTACCGTTGTCTTGGTAGTCGACAATTTTAAGGTTTGCATGAATATTCAAAAGAATAAGAATCGAATCACTGAGTTGCACCGACCTAGTCAGAGGGCCTTGATCAGAACAATCAAACAGCTTGTTATCTTGATGTCAACTTTAAATATCACTTTAGTTGCTTTCCGTACGGACCAGGTATTTATAAATAGCCGCGGAAGCCTGGCGCATCATCGCACGGATTATAAGACAAATCTGTTCTAATCGTAGGATTATCTTAACTCCAACCCTACAGCTGTCCTGAAATCATTGTCTACCAAATTAAACGAAGAGACTGCTGGAAAGAAGTTTAACAAAGATGATAGCGAATGAGCGTGAGCGTGTTCAAAAAACATCTCGATGAAAAACAAAACCCTGCCAGCCGAACCGATAGATTCTATGTGAAAGGAGCTCTGAAATCGCACAGCACTCGACACGGAAAAGAACTGCTCGATGGTACCAGTTTCCTAGCACTATAAGAGAGAAAAACCAGCTGAAAAGGGGCAGTAGGAACTATTAACTATTCACTCCTGTGAAAATGTTAATCATAACAATGGCCGAGTACTCGGCGCGGATTGGACTAGCCTCACCGCTTCTGTTCAGAGGACGAGTTCGCCTCAAAAACTATTGTTCCAGAAGCATGGAAAGGGGGACTACTTTCAGATCTAAATGCTGCAGACAACCACACCGCCACCCATAATTACCACAGTGTATGATCGACGTTATCATAAATATAAATGAGGCCCAAACCGACAGTCTCTCATCTCTCAGACCATGCGCATTGCGTAATGCATAAATAAATTCTCAGTGCTGACTTATGGGTGTCTCGTGAAGTTCTTATTCTTTACAGAGGAAGATATCTAATTAGGCCTAATTTATCAGTCACAAAAAGTCTAGCAGGCGGTGTCAACATTGGAAGATACTTACTGAAAATGCTTAGACGCCTCTTCGACGCTTTCGTTGCCGGAATCGCCGGTGTAATCTGAAGAGACGAAGATCATGGCTTAAGAAAACAGTCGTGGTTCAGTAAGAACAAAAGTTCAAAGCATTTACCAGCCTGAGGGATGGACGAAGATGCGGACGAGGCGGTGCAGCTGGAGAATTCCAACAATGAATCGTCCAACAGGTGTCGGCGGGCGTCCACAATGAACGGGAACGTTTCGTTGTGCACGCCACCGGCATTTCGTAGCCTAAACATTGCCAGCGAACGTTAAATGCAACATATATGACCTTCGGTGGTCGAAACTTCGCTACGAAAAGTGAAGAGGCAAAATTTGGTCGTAAACATCGGTTCAAAGTTTAGATGGCTATAACCGGCTTTGTGCGCAGTTGCCGCCGAATAACGGTACACCAGAACATCTTTTATTACTTCAATGCCGATGTGGTGCCGCCGAGGCTCTGCGTTTTGCGATGATTGCG